CTGAAACTAAATATTGAAGTAAAATATAATGTTTGTCTAGTATTTTGATAGAATTTTTCAATTAATTTATTTCATTTAACAAAAAAATACTTCCTCCGTGTACCACCAGCAGTACATGTATCGTTGTTTGAGAACCAGTGCTCTATAGCAGTGGCTTTCAAACAACAGGGGTCCTGTAGTGGGCTGTAGTGGGCTGTAGGGGGTCTTTTACTTCATTCATTTTCACACAAGTCAAATTTCACACTGAGCTGATAAAGTTGACAAATCCAATTTAAAACACAGGGGACGTCTCTCCTCACGGGGTTTAAATGACAGGTAGGAGGTGACTTTGTAACATGAATGGTGTCAGAAAATCAGAGTATTCTAAAACAGGGTTTTGGTGACTTTCTTCTCTGATCTTCTCACCTGCACCTGTAGGAAAATCTCCAAAACTACACTTCCTTAAATTCCCATGATACCAACAAATTACCTTCCTGCTCTCTGAAGGCTAAACTTTTAATTAACTTTCTTCTGGTCCATTTTTTAAATAGTTTCCTCTTCGTAAGCGACAGCAGAAGAAGAGAAAGCAGTTAATGGAGCTTCATCAGAGCTTCCGGAAAGAAATAATCATCTGAAATATCAGATTTCAACCTCAATAATGAACCAACAGTCAGACTGACTGACAGGAAGTCCACTCATCAGATTCTCCTCTGCAGTTAATTGGCTGAAAGACATTGGTTATATTGACTGTCAGTGTTAAGGCTCACAGACTGCAGCTTCATTAGGTTTTTAATGTGCTGAAACTTTGGCTGATTGTCATCTGGAAGTCTTTCAGTGCAGGTTTGGTTGAATGGAATAAACTTTGCAGTTGACTGAGAGGAGAGCTCTGCTGCAGCTACTTACACCTGGAGACATTTATATCAGTGGGAGAAAAGTCAAATGGAGAATAGGCCAGAAGTCAGATAAGAGAAAGAAATTGATGAGGAGAAATCAATCAGTCCCTCCAGGATTTCACAGGAGGTTTTTTGGAATTGTTGCAGCCTAAAATATTTCATTTCACCACAGCTTTAAAAAAAGTGAATGCATCACCATTCAAATGCATTTCACAGTAAACCTGTAGTTTTTACCACTGTCCTGTGCTGTAAAATGTACTGATTTATTAAACTACACTCAGTTATTCAGGAAAAAGTCGGTCCTGTGTTCAGACTGAGATGTTGAGTCTCACTAAGCAGCTTCGTGTCTCACAAACCCATCGTGTTGTGTTCACTCGTCTTGTATTGCAGCTTTATGTCGAGTAGGTGGTGTTTTACTGTGAATCTTTTGTCCCGTTGACAGAATTAATGGCCTCCTTTCATCCGTCTCCTCCTCTTCTTGAACCCGTCACGCCTCCGAACAAACAGCGAGCGGTTTAATTACCGCTGCTGCTGTTTGGGAACCACAGCGAGGATGTTGGGACAGCTGGGACTTCCTCCTTCATTTTCTCCTTTACTCTTGCAGGGTTAAACAGCAAACACACAGTTCCACACGTTCATGTTTGGAAATCTCTAATGGAAAAAAATAAAATGGTTATTTTCAATTCATTCAAACCACAACCTCCTTCCTGTAAGCAGAATATCTTTAAGTTAAAATGTGCTTTAAAAATATTAAACTGATTATACAATTAATGGGAAAAATCCTTCTGCTCATGAAGATCAAGTAATTTGATTGTTCCCTCTGGTTATTGAGCAGATATTAACAGAAGAAGACAAATCAACTGCTGCGTTAAACCATTTATCTGATACCAAAGTCTCATAATACACCGTCAGTCAGAGGTTACTAATAAAACTTTTATTATCATAAGTCAGTTTGTCATTGTTTTGCACACAATACTGCATGTTAACACAATGATATGTCGTGTGTCCCAACACCCGTCCTCCATCTTCACCTTCTGTCTTTGTTCAACAGAACAAACACAATCACACAGCGGTTGGTGCATCACCTGTAATGACTGAGCTCAAACTGACTCGTTGGTAATAATATGGAAATGTTATAGGTATGAAATATTCAATGTATGTAAAAATGTATCTTTAAGGTTCATGAAATGTCATTTTTATGGGTGAGAATTTCACTTTGTTTTAAGGAGTGATTATAGAAAAATACGGGAAATTTACTTGAAATATAGACAAAATACTTGTTTGTCTCATGATACTGCATGCACAATAAGCATAGGTTAGCCACTGAGATCACTATGTCAGAGGTAGTGTGTCCTTTATGTAGCAATGCCAATAATAATAAATAAATTATAAAAGTGTGGCATTTGATGTATCCCTAACCTTATCCAAGTGCCAAGATGCCAACCCCCAACCATACCCTAACTTTAGTTGATATGCTGCAACAACTTTCTCTCACATTGTCCCCAACCTAACCATACCATAGTTGCCAGGCGTGGAATACCATAGCAAAAAAAACGCAAAACTTTGAATTTATTGAAGAAGAATGTTACCATTGAACGTACACCAAGGGTTGCAGCGTTGCAACAGATTCAATAGTGTCAATATTCTTGTGTAGGGATAAGTTTGACGACCCCATGAAGTGAAAACTTTATTGGGTAGACTCAGGAATTTAAGAGTAATTCAACATGAAGCAAAAAGGTTGGACTGGTTGGACTTGAAGGTATCATGAGACGACAACTGTACCCAACACTCATTTTCCTTCCTGGTGTACCACAGCTTGGATCAAGCCATGTTTGGGGTAGTATCATGAAGCTCGGTGGTTTGGTCCCTTAGGTTGGAGCGAGCCACTGCCCCAAGTGAAGGAGTTCAAGTATAGTTAAGTTCAGTGTGGTTGGGGAGGACTACTTTGCATAACCTGGTGCTACCATGACCATGATCTATGTAAGTGGGAAATAAATGGATGGATGAACTACAAGGTTGACTGAAAGATTGGTGCAGCATCATCTCTAATGTGGATGTTGATCCGACCTGTCATGGCGAAGAGTGAGCTGATCTACACATTCCAACCCTCAGCTGTGGTCATGAGTTTTGGGTAATAACTAAAAGAGACAACAGATACAAGCGGCTGGAATAAGTGTTGTTCAGTGTCTGGGCTCAGAGGCAGGATGAAGAGCTCAGACATCCAAAAGGACTTTCAAATTCATGATGAAAATAGCCAGTTGAGGTGGTTCCAGCATCTGATCAGATGTATGCCTCCCTGTGGAGGTTATCTGGCCACGTCTAACTGGGAAGACCCAGAACTAGTTTGAGGTATTACTAATAGTCTCATCTGACCTTGGAATACATGTGGGTCCTCCAGGAAGAGGATGTAACAGGGGAAGACCTCTGGACTACCTTGCTTCCCTGGTACCATGGAGACCAGGACCTGTATAGTGGCGGAAAATGGATGAATGGATCATGAAGTTTGATCTCAAGACTTAAGCTAGTTTATATTGACAGGAAAAAGACAGGATGAGAAGCTTTGACATCTTGGAGAGGATAGGTGCCAGTTTAGGTGATTTGGGCATCGGATGCTTCCTGGACACCTCCCTGTGGAGTTTCTTTTGCCCAGCATGTCCTACCAGAAGGAGGCCCGAGGGCAAGCCCAGAACTTGTTTAGGTAATCACTAATTCCCTTAAAAAACAAGGTAGACTGAAAAATGTTACCAGGCCCAGATGCCAGATGTGATTGAAGAATGAATTCACTTTTGTTTGTTTCACTGGGTTTTCTTTTACTGTTAAAATTGGAACAAAGACAGAAAGAGAGATGGGCAGGTGTTGTGGCACAAAGACCAAAATCTATCACCATAATCTAGTAAACTCTCCATAGATACTCAAGTTGTGCTTTTATATCTACTCACACATTTTCATTTACATGTGAACATGCTTGAGAGTAGAACAGTCCCATCATCGGGCACATTGTAAACATCATTATTACTCATATTATTCACTACCAGGAAACAGAAACCACAAGGACCGAGGAGTCCTACATGGAGATTTGCATGCAAAACAGTTCATGCATCTGCCTCGCCTTTAGAAAAAAACAGTAAAGGATGCAGATGTCTGTGAAGGCAGCTTGCTTGTTCATCTGGCAGACATCCAAAATGCTTTACAACATACGAACCTTACGAAATTTAGCAAAATCTCGATAAACTCTTATAAAAACAAACCGGGAGGGGGGAGGAAGTGGGTTCATACATTCCTTCATCGACTGTTTCCCCACCTGTCATGCTGTCTGCAGGGAAGCAGCGTTTGGATAGGTGTGTGTTTATGTGCTTTTCTTATCCAGTAACAACCCGTCTGAACGTTACAGTCAGCTCATCCCCTGTAGGCCTTGCATGCACGACGAACACCAAAGGTGCTACATTTATCATTTTTATACATGGAACCAGCTACTAACTTATTTCCCATAATCCTTGCTATGATGCATCTATGTAACGTAAAATGTAAAGGTAGCAAAAGATTATGAGCCTTCCTTTTACTGGACTCAAAATGGTGGCTGTGGGTGTTAGTAGCACCACAACATTCATTTGCGTGTCCACGTGAAATGTTGCCTGAACCTTGTTGATGTTGTGACTACTTGCAGGGATAGTTGGCGAGCTACTGTGGCTGGTGAGCTTACAAAATAGCTCAGCAGTTTAGTTGATTTGCGAGCTAACCACTGATTAGCACAATAGCTGGTTTGGTTGCTAATTAGTCAAAAACTTATTACAGTTCATCCAAGAGATTGTGCCATTGTTTGTCAGTTTATACTTTGGCGAAGGATGATTATGTAAAAATGGATGGTGCCACACAGCTAATATGATAGCTTCCTCTGTTCAGCTGTTCCCTGTCAACACATGTGTCTTTACTTTGCCGCTGTAATCACTGAAATTGATGAGCTGATTTTGGTCTGAAATGTTGTGGCCAATAAATGCTGATGTGACCCTGCTTTTATTGTAAACACCAACACGAATGAAAGAAACACAAACGTTATCTATCATTCTTATGTATATCAAAGTAATGCTACATAGCTAACACTACAAAACAAGCTATTAATGGCTACTAATAACAAGTGTAAACCCTGGTTTTATAGTGGGAATAAGAACGTGATGGATATGTACAAGTTAGAAATTAAATCTATTCTAGTAACTTCCATGTTACATGAAGGTACACACTTGTTATGTCCATTAAGATTATCCCCCATACTCAGGTCTGAAAAACAATGTGATGAACAAATTGTCTAGTGTGATTCACTTATGAGAGCGACTGCTGTGCTGCTGTTAGGGAGCACTAAAGGGTGAACACATTGCCCACATACTGGCAGCATCAAGACTCTCATCACTGTAGGTTGATAAACTGCATTGCATCCGGATACGCTGTGTGTCTGCTCCCGGAAAGCAGCCATTATATTACATTGCTCTTTGGATTGGCACATCTCAGCTACTGTGCTTTGACTCCTTGTTCTGTCTGTTATTGCATATCCAGTGTCTGCAACATGCATCATATGATACAAAGGTATCTGATGTGGCCCATGTTTCGCCTTTCAGAACTTCCTAATAAGCACTTCAACCAGCACCTTCACCCACTACTCTGCCCTTTTTTAAAAGATGATGACAGGAAATGAAACGCCCTCTACCTGCCATAAAGAAATCCAGTTAATGTTCCTGTAAGTCCAACCTGTAAAATGCAGTGAAGAGGTTTTTTGTTGGCTGTGTGAGTCGAATCTGAAATGAACCGATTCTTCATGGTGAAATGCTGCATGTAGCACCTTTAACATCCGCATCAACAAAGAACAAAATACAGTAAACATGTTTCTCAGTCCAGTAGAGGTTGTGCTGTCCAGGGGGAGCTGTGGCGGCGGTGCTCAGGGGCCGAACTGCCTGGAAGACTGGTACTCGCTGGGCACTTTGGGCTTAATGCCCTTGCTGTTGTAGTAGTCAACCACCTGGTTGGGCACCTCGGCTAACACACTCTTAGCCAGAGCAGCTGGAGACGCCTGAAGGAGAGACAGAGGAAACATCAATCATACTGTACATGAGGTTCATAAACTTACAAACATATCAGATCATCTCTTATAAGACAAGTGCTGGTTCCAGTTTCCTATTTAAAGGCCCATTATGGTGGCTACAGCCAATTTACCATTCATGCTTAACATTTTCCCATCATCCATCAGGTTTTAGATTGACTTCCTTACTTCTAGGCAGCCGTTGGTTTCAGTTCATTACTGTATGCCATGAAAATCAAATCAGAGTTGAGATTTTTTTTTTTGAGTTGAGTGTTTAAAGGAGCAATGTGCAAGATATGGACAGAGTTAGAGTTCATGGATGGTTCATCAACAGAACGTGAACAGATAACTGCTATGATGATTTGTCATAGTGGTCCATGTACTCTGTCGCAGAGATTTTTACTGAAATTATGATGCGTTCCATTTAAAGTGGAAAACTGTAATTGCCATGTTCCCAGTCGGACATTTCAACTGAAAACTTACTGTTGCAGCGACATTATCTCGACTTTAACACCAAGAATATATGTATTTATATGTATATATAACAATTTAGTTTAGTTTAGTTTAGTTTAGTTTAGTTGGGTTCATACCACTGTAGTAAGACTTGTGTTACACTCAAGAGTAACTCAAGGTGAAAACCATTAGGAGTATCCCACACTCTGTCTCAGATCAAATTACGTTTTTTTATCTGCAGCCTAATATAGGTTTTATATCAGTGTTTAATAAGCTGTATACAACAAAATCGTTCATCAAATCCTCTGAACCGTCGTTGGTATAATGGATGTGGCGGACTCCACCATCCATTTGAGTTAGAACAATTTTTAAAAAGATATATTAAATTAATAATACATTATTAGAAGAATAGAAGAACAGTTGGAGGATCACACTGCAGGAACTAAGAACGACTTTGGGATTCTGAGTGACGTACTTTATGTATTTCACATTAGACTGTTTGCTTTGCACCGTTGTATTTCTCCTGAAATATTTCGTTTACACACCATATTCCTCCTCTTAGCTCCCTTCGTCCACATAGTCCAAATTCACACATCTCCTTACTCCGTTATTATCGTTAAACCCACAACGTAACAAACACACAGCTCCGACCACGGCGTCTTCCTTCTTGTTGTATATCGCACAGAAAAGTCTGCCAGCTTATCGTCCCTATAGGCCGGGAACGTAAAAAGAAAGAAAAGCCCTTGATGGTATGTTTCTTGGGGGAGCTCCCCAGAGACGCCTAATGAGACAGGACGCTCATGTGACAACTCTGACTGTAATGGATTTTGTGTCTGCAGCAAGTTTATTTTAGCAGAAACCTGAAATCAGTGGCGGTCTGAAGGGAAATCAAACTGCATCATTAGAAGATGGATGCAGGAATGTACACAACTAGAAGCTAATTGGCAAAAAATGAATAATACAAGGAATTAGCCCCTCAAATAACACACATACATAATGTATGGAGGGTTATACAGCATATATATTTTTATTCTGTATGGTAGGAGTGGTTCTCTGGTCCTTCCTTTTGGGAGGAACTGTAATTGTCTTAAGGAGCGTCAGTCAGAGCTGCTGTCAGATGAAAACAGCCAAAGACAGAAACTCTCATTCATCACGCAGATTAAACCCGGGGGGAAAATACAACCAGTGCCTGTACAAAGAGTCCAAACTGGGAGGATAAATCTTCACTGTACTTTACAGTCTGTAACTTTCAGGCTTGTTAAAGACTTAAAATTCATTTGAGAGAAATGAAAGATTTCCCACATAAGATCAGCTGGCAGGTTTCTACTCTGTCTTCCCTCTTAAAGGGTGAAAACTCATTTCTTCAATAACTTCACACTCCTCTCATTTTGTCCTCCTCCACTTCCAATATGCTCCGATCCAGATTCACAGCACTCTTCTCTTCTTGGCTTATTGCTTTCCTCACACTTCACAGCCCTCCGCAATTATTGCCGGGTCACGTAAAGCTGTATATACACACTGTAAAATGTTCTATCAAGATGTGATCTTTCAAATTAACACACCATCTGCTGCCCGTATTTAGAGGATTTTTAGCTCCTGGACAACAAAGAGAAGTGCTATATTAACACATTAAAATAACAAACTTGTAGTGACATGAAGCAAAATTAAGATGAAATTAAGACAAAAGTGAAACCTGTAAAGAGGCTGTATCATTCTCATTTACAGGTTCATGCTATAATACGTTTGCACGCTTTAATGTTACATACTGGCTTCTACCCATCCTGTCTGAAACACTTTACTATGTAAGCATAGCCCTGATCAACCGAACTCCATTCAGAAAACAAGCATTTTAGAGGTTGTTTGCTCCTGGACAAAGTCTGAATGCAGACTTTTTACAAATTGCCATCATGATGTAGATATTTCAGCAGCATTTTGATCCGTTTATTGACATTAAATCACAGAAAAAACTGTTTTGGGCTCATACCGCTAAAGTTAGTGGTTTCAACACAATTATTATTGCTGTTTTAGCTATCAATGTCACGAGTCAGCTGAATGGAAGTAATAAAACCTGCAGTTCCTCTAATGGCCACTTAAGGCAAGCTCCAGCAGTGAGTAAATAAATCTGTGTCAAACTGGGAGCCAACTGGTGTTATTTTAAATCCGATGGACTCACGTGTTTAAAGTTGCGGAAGGGGACGAACTGGACGATGTCCCGGAGGACAGGCTCCCCTTTGGGTGACCGCAGGATCCCGTCATCGCCGTCCAGCATCTGCATGTCGCTGAAGTCGGCATTCCCGATCCCGACGATGATGACGGACATGGGGAGGTGGGAGGCCTGGACGATGGCCTCCCTCGTGTCAGCCATGTCGGTGATGACGCCGTCCGTCAGGATCAGCAGGATGAAGTATTGCTGGGAGACAACGGTCATCAGTCCTATTTAGTTTTTTATCTTTATCATCATGTTGTTAGTGTAACAGTAACAGAAAGCACATATGACCTTTTATTAAAGCATAAATATAAAATACAAACAAGACAAAAATTCAGTTTTTCAGTCAATTTAGACCGAAGAGAAACATGACACATAATTAAATTAAAATTAAATAACATAATTATCTTTTCTTTATTTTTTCATATATTTGATGTCTCTGTTTTCTGCAATGCGTTTGGCTGTCAGAGTGTACAATTAATGACAGTTAGTTTGCTAACGTTTGACTTTGGCAGTTTGACAGCAGCCGTGAATAAATTCTAGCAGAGCTGCTGCAGTAGTGTTGGTATGTGCTCGTTCTCCCACTTTAACAACAAACTCAAAAAGAGTTCGTCCCTGAACCACTGACTGAATCAGCGGGGCAGAAACAGCACACGTGATCAAATAAGGATCACAACCTTGTGATTGTGCTGGAGGTTTATCACCAAGACAACCTGGACGAATCAGCCCAAAGAGTTTTGATTTAGATACCTCATACTTCTTTTCTACTAAGGCACTTTAAGGGCTGGTTTTCTCGAACCAGTTCTTCAGCCAAAGAACCAACTCTCTGCCAGGAACTGGTCTAGAACTAAGAACCAATTATAACAGGATTGTGGTCAGCTAGCTATGTATTTGTTAGCTGTTTAGCGAGCTACTAACCCAACATAGATATTATAAATTCACATTAAGCCACCTAGCTGTTTTTTGTGTTTTTTAAGCTAGCTAGCTGTTGGTTAGATAACCTTCGAACCAGCCCACAATTACCCCCTTTCCACCGAGGTGAACCTAGTGCTAGTTCTGGGCTGGGTTTTCCAGCTATTTATTTCTTAGATGTTTAGCATATAGATATTGTGAGGTAATGTTAGCTGACCGGCAACTCACTAAGTAGCCAGCTAACCTTGGTAACAACAGCTAACGTTGGAGACGTATACAGTGATGTAAGAAGGTTCTCAAGTTGAACTAACTCTGAACTGGAATAGGTTGACTAGGTTGGTAGAAATGGGGTATCAGAGGCTGGAGCAGGTTGAATGGAGGGTATCTGGGAGAGGAATCCCGGTCTGTCAGGAGAGTCTCTCACCATCGCCTCTTTGGTGTGGACCTCCTGCGAAGCGGAGTTGGCGACCTTCTGGATGATGGGGGCGATGTTGGTGGGACCGTAGAGCTGCAGCTTGGGGAGGCAGGCCTGGTAAGCCTCCACCACGCCCTGGATACCTGACGGGAGACGGAAAACACACAATATACAACAATCAGCAGTAACACTGTGAGCACTGGACTTCCTGACTGGTCCCAGACCAACAGACTGCTCTGCACCCTGTGTTCATGAGCCTTTCTATCAGATACCTAGCGATGTAACTGTTTCCAGCAGTTTGAGCTAGCTAGCATGCTCTGGGTGTCTGTTGGTGATCTGATCACCCACCGGGGGCTCATGCCTTAACTCGCCAACTTGCTTATTCAAAATTGGAGCTCTCGACGCCCCCATTGTACCTCTGTCTCCTGGTGTCTGTTACCTTCCGTTGACGCACCCCTTTGATAGGTACTGTGAGCTCTGCAGTCCGGGAACCCTTCCCATCAAGAGCTTCTCAAGTTTTGGAGATGTTCCTGACCAGTCGTCCATCACAATGTGACCTTTGTCAAAGTCGTTCAAACTCTTGCGCTGCCATTTTTCTTGCTTCTAACACATCAACTCTGAGAACAAAATGTTCACTGTCTGCCTGATATACCC